TTATATCTGTATTCCATGAAGGAGTAAAATGTATGGGAAATGATTTTGGATTCAGTCCATAAATAAGATATTTGTGGCAGTGGTAGCTACCCCATTATAGTTATACACCAGTCTATAGAACAGTATGATGATTATTATTTTGGTGGAGTTGTTTACATTTCATCTGAACAGGCCTCGTTTTGAGGTATCTCCATCACCAGTCCATCTTTTATAGCGTCCAGATGGTACATGACGGGATATCAATGTATGGGATCCCCCCACAGGTGAACACCTCCCACACTGTCACTCCAAATGACCACTGGAGAAGTAATGTATAATAGTATTATCACTCAGTGGCAGGTTATAACTGATATAAGTCCTTGTGTATCTGACATTACATGGATCTTGAACATCACATCATAATGGAAGAGTTCATTAAAGCACAGTCTTTATAGACTATTGATGATGTACAGAGCAAGTGGGCAAAAGAAAGCTATTTGAACCATATTCTTATTGCTAACCACGTCCGTGGCCTCATTGTAGATGTTGTCTTCCAGACTCTCAGGAGCCATCCACTTGATGGGCACCTTCTCCTCATCTTCACCCTCTCTCCTCTCCTGCTGACGGCAAGTATTTGGCACCATACATGTCCTCTGTGAGTCCAAAATCAGCCACTTTGATCACTCCACTCTGGTCAATCCTGGAGTACATGTTACAACCTCTGAATTAGGGACACCTTAATTGGGAACATAGAAGGTGTTCTTTATTTAGAAGTGTCCTATTTGGATATGTATTAGTTTGAGGCAGAACCAAGTGTCTCTAAAGGAAGCTGTCCTTCATTCAGAACGTCCTCAGGGTTTTCTCAGTAGTTTTATTGTTAGCTCATATAGCTATATAGTACATGCAGTTCCTTGCTGCCAGGTCACGATGAACAAGACTCTGCAGTGCCAGATACTCCATACCCTTCGAAATCTGGTGACAGATTTTCAACAACTTCTTCCTGGATAAATCGACCTACGGAAAACATTTACCTCATATCCAAACCCTTTTGTGAGGTACGTACACATAAAGTGTTACTAAGGCTAATAACTACGTAAACGTATAATTCGACCTTTGATTCCTCTGAAATGCAAAGGAGTGAATCTTTGTGGTGTCTCACAAACTCCAGAACAGATCCATTGGTCATGAATGGCATGATCAGCAGCGGACGGTTAGTCACACACACTCCTCGTCAGAGACATGACGTTGGTGTGCTCTAGTGACAACATGGTGGACACCTCCTTTGACAGTTGCACCGTATCAATCTTGGAGAAAAGTGCTGAGAAAGAGAAAACCTGTCTTTTTTTGCAGTCAAAATAATTATTTATCTCACCCTTAACAGTTTTGACTGCAACCAGTTCTTTTCCTCTCGCAGTTGTCAGACACGCCCTGTAGACCAGTCCAGACTGACCTATGCAATAGTATCATCAGCAGAAGTATGCATACTACACAAGAACGTAACAATACACACGCACCTTGACCGATAGCATTGGACAGCTCGATGTCGTTCTTAGAAATCAACATTCTCTTATTCTTCAGCTGCCGTCTCAGTCGTGCGGAAAGGAAAGAGGACCTTTCATTTTCAGGCTCTTGTGTGGTACTGGGCTTTTCTGCAGCCACAACCTCAGCTAAAACAGCAAAGAAACATTTGAATAATGGGACATCAGCACTCCAGTACACGATGCACTGAGCTACAACAACTCCCTGACAAAAACTGGTCTCCATCTCGATGAAGAAGATTTTGACAAACATGAAAATGCTTTGTGTGCTGGTTTGATGGTTGGTGACATTAGTTTGCCTCCATTTGTAGTAGCATGACTTTTTCGTATTTTCAAGCTAGACTATTGTGTAATGTTGACAATGTTTAATACTCCACCTATAGGGATTGTGTGCCAAGTATATACAAATCTTTATGTCGGGGATCGATACTATAATTGTTGGCAAATGAGACGCCCTTGGTTTTAGTGAAAGGTGAAAGGTGAACTGAAATACAGTGGCAATAACCTTACCGACAGCAGCTCGCTCATAATCACGAGGGAGAAAACTGTAAATTTGAGATGCAATCACTAACAAAATACAGGGAGGATGAGGTGCGAACTAACCGATCTTTCTTCTTGCTCTGTCTGTAACAGAGCATACCAAACACCACGACAGCCAGAATAACTATCACAGCTACTAGTGAAGAAATGATAGCTGTTACATTGTTGTCATCAGAGTTAGAGAGGGTGGGTGGTTCATTGGTACATGTGCAGTTCTCTGGTAGTTTAATAACCACCACAGCAGTTGATGTATTAATGTGAACACGAGCACTTTCATCAGCTGTGGTCAGTGTTGACTCCAGTTGTATTCCTCTGCAGTCAAAGTGCTCGCATACATTTTCCACGTCAAAGTTAAAGGTGACCTCGTAGCACTGTGTATGAGATGTACCATCAAAAGTAAGACTATTTGTAGTCTGCTGGAAGAGATCCACTGAATCTGTAGTCACAATGTAACGTACAGCACTGCAGTCATGACATGAATCTTACTGGGTGAGGTGTGGGTGGCAATATTGATGGTGAATATTTCATCGATTCCCAGAGACCGGCTAGTGACACAAATCTCTTCTCTACCACTCAGTTCTGCTATGGTATAGCTCGAACTCTCGTAGCCAACCCTCACATCTAAACAATAGGGTTGGAAGGTAATAGCTGCTGCTAGTGTAAAAGTCATTTCTCCAAAATAAAGAGGGATATCAAGTGGTGCTAAGGTGTTTTGTACTGTGTTAATAAACACCTGCAAATGCCAAAAGACACCTGTGACGAGGTGGTGTCTATGAAAAACCAACCACCCCAGTTTTGATTGGTGCATTGCATGTGACTGTGGTCTATGAAGTTGAGGACTCACAACATTCTGGTTCTCTGGTGTCATCAATGGTGATATTAGTCGTAGATCGCGATGAATAGACACCCAGTCTATCACTTGGTGGTACACTGAGGATCAGTTCATACTCAGTAACGTTCTCCTTCACACTACACACGTCATCATCAATGATGCCACACTCATGACACTTGGCAGACATTCCTCGCTCAAATTCAAATGTGCTACATTGGACCTTCTGCTCTAACTTTCTGCGGAGAGCAAAGTCACATCGAATTTTTCGGTAGCCCCAACAGAAGAAGGGTTGAAAACCTCGACACACACGGAGACAATTCCACCTGTCTCAGTTCCAGCGTATGTTGTCGATGAGAATCCTATAACAGTACCTAAATGGTATATCATATTGCACTAAGAACTCTATGGAAGATTGTGGAGACATGAATATGGCCAGGCAACTTGTTTACGGATAATGTCTGCCATCTCGATATAGTGAGACCGGGAAAGCAGCTTGTTTGTACAACAGTTTGCATGAATCATGAGTGAGGTATGAAACAAAACTAAATGCAAACCAATCACGCCCAGGACAACACTACGTTCCAAGGAAAAAGAGCTGCCATTTTTGTGAGACTGAAATCAGCGACACGTGTCGTGGCAGAGGTACAGAATGAATCAGGCAGTCACAACACAAGGCGAATGCATATCAGCATCAAAACATCTACACAAATGCCTCTGTAAATCCATAATCATGTATTTACCTTGTGCTATAAGTACGAAGAACTGGAGGAACTGCACGCTCTGATGGAAAGTGTATGTGTAACAGATCATTTCCAGAGTGGCCTCAACTGGAGCTGAGTATACAACGGAGTTCGAGTGTGGAGACCTGCTCAACTCTCGTCCATCAGCAGTCTCCCACGTCATTGCGGCGATGTAAAATCCTGAGGATTCGGAGGGGGCGGAGCATGTTACATCCCACTGGCCCCCAGCTCCCTGGAGCACTGCAGTATACTCATCTGGGGAGACATCATAGTAATGGAGTAAACTAATGACACAAAAACAGTGGTGAGGCATCATAGTCATGGAGTAAAGAAGGTGCTAGTCTTCACATTATTTTAAGGCCATGATAGTTACCCGATGTTACATAAGACAAAGTTGCATACCAATATATGGGTACGATTGGTCCACACACCATGTTGCACGTCACAGTACTATCTTTCTCATTGTCTATCATACCCATACATTTGCATGTAACTTTGCATTGCGTATCATGAAGATTACGTAATCATCCTAGTAAACTCACATATTTAATAATATGCTAAAGTGGAGAATGCCCCTGTAACCAACACCGACAGAGAACATTTGTAGGTCGATCCGACCGGATTAAGACCGACTAGAATGTTCTCATAAGTCGAGTTTTTCCTGTCAACGAGGTGAGAGGAGAAAGAGAAGGAGTCTTCATCGCTGAATTCCCACTGGACTTGGTAGGGAGGAAGGTGGGTGGAGTCACAGGAGAGGACAAATGGATATTCTGAGATGTATCGGACAGAGATGAGCTGGGGTGGGAGGTCTGCAGTGACGAAACAACTGGAACAGTTGATAATTATTGTGAAAATATTCTTGAGAGTTTTACAAGTGTTCAGGGGTCATTCGTGAGAGATTAGAGTAAGTAAGTATAATTATACTGTCGCACCAGAGGTGTAGCCGTAGTCATAGAGACCAAAATGAAGAGTCTGTTCTTCTCCATTCTCATCAGGAATGATGCAACTGTAGACTCCTTCATCCTCCCTGCTGAACTGGACACCTGGGCATGATTACATCACAGAGACCAGTATAGGTGTGTAAAGCTACCAACTCTGCAGGCATGCCCATGTGTCATCAACGAGGTTAAGGCAAAGCAAGGCAAGCTACTACACCAAGGAAAACTCTTTCCCCCCAAAGCCCTATATATAATATTATAGGTGAGGTTGGAACTCCTGACATCCTGCAATCAGGGTATTATAATTATTATACTGCCATTCCTTGTGGGTGCTTCTCCATCTAAACACACGTCAACAAGGAGGTAATTAAGCAAAGGTCAACAAATCAGCTAAATGTGAGGGGGGCTATTTCAGAATAAGGCCTGTGAATGCTCCTTATTTCGTTCCAGACAAAAGCAGTTGTGTAAGCCCTATATACCTTCTTTGAGGGTGATAGAAGTGTAGCTGTGGTAGGTGGCGGTGTAGAACTGGACCTGGAATATGTGGTTCCCAAGGAATGGGATCTCCTCTCCACTGGGATCGATCCACCTGCCAATGTTGGGTTGACTGGAGGCTGAGTGGCAGTTCACACTCCCCAGTGTGTGGGCAGAGTTTGCCTCTATGCCACTGTTGTTGGACATCCCAAATCTGTAGTCTGAGACAAGTCCAACACCTTTGCCATGTTCCAAGAAAGCAGAAAAGTGGGAAGAAAGGGGCATTAGGCTGTAAGCATATAATTATGATGACCCTCCAATTTGGCCATCTAAGTGTGCCATACTTAGTCATATGAATGCATGGTTTATGGTTTCTTTCAACAACGACGAAGACACTGTCACACACAATACGTAACTATTGATATTTATTTCGCAACTGTCTATGGGATCCGTGTGATTGCAAAAACACCTATATACCAGATTGTTCTAGGTACTGACCAGTGAGTTGTTTCAAATCATACTTGGTCTCTGCGGTCGAACCAGCATCGTCCCACGCCCTGCCACAACACTACATCTCTACAGTAGTCTGGAGTCGAGTTTATTATATGGCTACTATAAATGTTTGTGGTCGGTGGTGTCTGGTACACCACCACCTCAGTACCAGACGACAGGCAGTAGTCTATGAAATGGTACGATAAGCTGCCGGGAGTAATAACTCTGCAGTAAAAAAAACGCGAAATGCCGACTTGGAAGATAGGACCTTTAGGATAAGTCGAGATATACAACTTCACTCCTGCAATAATCATAGATGATAGCAAGTTTTCCTGGATTATTATTATCACTATACCATCGTAATGTATTTGGTAGAGGAGAGAGTTCCAGTTGCTGTCAGGAGTGTTGCCACAGGCAAATCTCACTGGAACTGGGGGAGAGAGACAGTTGGTGGTTGAAGAAGAAGTTGCCAGAGGATGAGAAGCCAATGGAAGCTCTGGAGGACTCCAGAAGGTCACATTGGTAGAGGAATAGGCAGTAGGACTTGGTGCCATCTGTCACCAACACTCCCTGGAAGCTGTCCTGATTATAGCAGGGTAATATCATTAGGGAGTCATAGCTGACCCAATGTGTAGCCATTCCCCTGTGTTAGTTTTCATAATCCCTTGTGTAATACACTCTGTCCTCATAATAAGATCACATAATCATAGTCCCATACTGATGCTAGGTACGTACATACATTGCTTGTCCCTATAAAGTACTTGGTAGTTGAACCACAGATTTGGGATTTTAGTATTGTGAGCAACTTGCCTGTACAAGGCTCTGAGCATTGGTGACATTGTTCCAGTAAACCACCAGTAGCCACACCCCTTCAAAGACCACACCCACTTCCTGGCTGATTGCTGAGTTGATTTGTTCCAGCAGATTTCCACTAGTGTGTACTTCGTAAGCCACTTCACCTGTGAGGGTAAGCCCCGGGTTATTAATGAAGCACACTAACGCACACAGTAAGAAGTATTATAGTGTAGCTCATAGAGACAGTTACTGTGTGTTGCTTGTTTTCTGGTCGAACAAACCTTGGTTGGTGGTGTCATAGTCATCCCAGTAAGGAGCTATGACATGATAATAGACAGGGGCTGAGCTAAACACATCAGGGAATGCTCTAAACCATCCAGGACTGGCATAGTCTCTAGCTGTTCTGAAGGATAGATATCCATTGACATTCACCTATGTACAACACAGTGACGCAAGATGTTAGGCATTGAGTGACACACATGTCCATAAGCCCAAGGGTCCATTTTTTTCAAGTGTTGTTAGCGACGATCGTGACATTAGTTAATTAACAAGGATTAAGGACTTTACAAAGATAACAGATTGTCAAAACTGCAGTAAAGAAACTTACAAAAACGACGGACTCAGTTTCATTGGAGAAAGGGAAGCCATATGGCAGGGAGATGGGGTCAGAGTTCACCTCGTCTCCTGAGGAAGAGACCCAGTGAGGTTGGCAGAGGAGGAGCCAAGCTCCAGGAACTCCAGAGATGAGAGAGAATGGAGCCAACCTGGAGTGGAAGAGTTCCGTGTCACATTCCCTGGACTAACATTTGCCACATTCTCTACATCGCACTGTTTTGTTATTTCTTGCTTATTTCCCTTTCTGCAATGGGCGATGCTTAAAAAAATTGGCTTGATGTATGGCGTTTAGTTTATTGCAAGATGCCATCTTGGTTACATTTGCATAACGCATAATACATAATACATAATACATAATACTGGTAAGTGTTGCAAAGCTCCTCTCTTGCCAGATAAAATAGACACAAGAGCTCAGTTGGAGGTGGTTAGCTACTGCATATAAGTACCTGATGAGCAGTCAAAGAGAAGCAGAGTGACCACTGCGACTGGCATCAACTGCATATCTCTTTCCAGATTCAGACAACAAATCTCTCATTGGCTGCTTGCTCCGGCAGATTTTCACCAGTCTGCACGCATTAATATGTCGGTGTGCCTACTGTTCCTATGTGATTATACAACAGTAGGGGTTGGCTATATAATCGGGTTGGGGTGTCCATTTGTGCTGATAAGGTCAGTTAGTATCAGTGAGAATGTCCTGTGGGATACACCAATAGAGTTGAGACTACACTAATGGAGTTAGTTACTGCAGACTGAGCTGTGGAGAGCTAATGGTAAAAGGTTATAAAATTATACTGCGCGTGAGTGTTGCGCGCGCTCGGCCGGCCGCCGACAAATAGTCTTCAGACGCATGCGCACAAATGTCGCGGGTGTCAAAGGTCAATCGCACTACAACATGTCTTCCCCTGACTCTGGAGCTGGCGGGAGAACGTCTCGAGAGGAGGGGAAGGTTTCCAGGCACCTCGGACTCTTCCACTCTCACGTATACACCTACAGGTGAGCCAACAGACACCGCCCCTATCGTCCGTAGAGAGAAATAGGGTTCTGTTGGTTTAGGACTCCATGGGAGAAGGTGGCCCAGGCGCTGTGGCAGCGCTACCCTAATCTGTACAGCAATCACGTGCTCTCCGAGGACACCCTCTCAGTAGACAGAGCAGGGGTCGGAGGTTGTTGTCACGACGACTGCTGAGGAAAACAAACTCTGCCCCAAAGTGGCTGGAGAGAGTGAGTCAGACACACAATCATGTTTGTTCCTCTACTTCTCTCCATTTTCTCCTCCTCAGTTTGTTGGTGGTAAGGGGGCGTCGGCATGCATTGTTGAGGAGTCAGAGGTTGACATGGCAACCAAGACCACCACAACGTACACGAGGAATGTAAATTTCAACAAACTCATGACAGTTGTAGAGAAGGCCATCTATACTGTCTCCCCAGAAAACAAGTAATGGTTAGAGACGAGATTGATTCTGCACGTGTATATATATGATTGTGTTCAACTTTTGCAGTGAAACTCTGAAGGAGTAAAATTCCTTCTGAAAAAAGGACGCTGATTGTCCCTCATTTTCAGGGAATGTGCCAGTCTTATACATAAGGGCTTAATTTAGATAAGAGGTACATAAGATAATAGAATAAGGATATCATGTAAGAAGGAGGCATGGGTGCGCTGCAAAGTTCGAGGAATTTCTCTGGCAGTTGAGAAATTTGAAGTTGAGAGATATCGCAAGAATGCCGACAAGGTTTGTTTCACTCTCAATGACATGACCTTTGACCTCTGACCTCCCACGCAGGCTCAGTTAGGTTTGGAGTTTGTGATGGACAAGATATTCGCCATTAGATCAAAGATACTGGCAGCGAAATATACTTTTCACGTCAGTCATGATTATGTCAGCCATTTGTGTGTCAATTTTAGTCCATAAGTATGCAAGCACTTCTATACCGAATATGAAATGGATTTTTTTCCTACACAAGCACAAAAAAATAAGCCTACTTGCGAAAAAATAATCGAAAGTGCGACTAATCGCATGAGTGGAGCTAGGAGACGGAGATTTATTATTATTTTAATGAGAGATACATATATACACAATAGCAAATAAGCTAGTGACGTGGTGTATGTGGCTATGTATACTATATGTTGAGCCATTTTCGCAAGGATGATTTGAAAGAAATTAATGTTTCAGATGATCTCACACAGAAGGGGAGCAAATTCCAATCTAAGCATGTCTTGGGTACAAAAGAGTGCATGTACGCATTAGTCCGACAGAAGGGTACTTGATAAAGATGACTTGAAGGATGTATGTAAGGAGTGGCTCGAAGAGTAAACAGATTTTGTTGAAAGTGTAGTAATTGTTTAACGATTTTAAACATTGTACACAGCTTGAAATATTTCCAACGATTTGCAAGTGTAGGAATAAGTAGTAGTGAAGAATAGTCCAACTCCCATTTCTTCAGACAAATTCTGAGTGCAAACTTTTGAACTCCTTCAAGCTTTTCAACATCTTTGACTAGGTGTGGATCCCACACCTGACACGCATACTCCAAAGATGGGCGGATAACTGTAGCATACAGTTTTAGGAGGCTGGTAGAAGATGAATCAGTATAAAATGTTCTGTAGAGTAATCCTAACATTTTTCTTGCTTTCGTGCACAAAGAGTGAATATGTTTACTCCAGGTAAGGTCAGATGTGATCATAACACCGAGGTAGTTAAACTGGTAGACACGAGAGATAATGTGATTACAAAGCACAAGGGGGGGTGGATTTGACATATTAGACCGCTTTCTCGAAACTAGCATGAATTTACTCTTTTTGGGGTTGAAGGTGAGAGAGGTATCAACAGACCATTGAGATAAAGCCTGCAGATCCATCTGTATTGAATGATAGTCTTCAAAGTTTCCAATTGGCTTATAGAGTAATATGTCGTCAGCATAAAGTGTGATTTGAGTTCCGGGAGAGAACGAAAGGCTAGTGACATTATTGATGTAAGTGAGAAAAAGGAGAGGACCAAGTACTGAACCTTGAGGAACACCTGAGATAGCATGGACTTCAGAAGATGTTGCTCCATTTACCACAACCCTTTGAACCTGGGAAGTCAAGTAACTGCACAACCATTTGAGTAGTGTAGGGTGAAGTCCCATCTGTTTTAAGACAAGAAGAATATTACGATGGGGAACAGTGTCGAATGCTTGCTGGAGGTCGAGAAATACAGCGCATATTTCCCTGCCAGCTTCAATGTGCTTGTGCCAGTCATCAATCACAAACAGTAATGCAGTGGTAGTTGATCGTCCCGCAAGAAAGCCCCATTGAGAGTCCGAAATTTGAGATGATTCGATCAAGAATTCCATTAGCAATTTCACAATATGTTTTTCAAGCACTTTGAGGGTTAACACTGGTCTGATCCGTCTGTCCGGGCCACCACGCGCGACAGACAGTAAAATAGCGACACCAACGTGTTCAGCGCTACACTGGCTTCATTTTTAAATGCGATTTTTGTAAAAGTGCCGCATTCAGAGGTTATGGCATGAAAACCAAGTGAACAAGCCAATATGCAATATTAGCACAGGCTACCTCGACCTGGGTATCGCTTGCTCTGTGTACCTTGGAGGCAAGTCACAACGAGGGCGTGTAATCGACTCCCGCATGCTATCTACTACTGTAGCTAGCCGTGTCAGACTCTCCGCGAGCTACTACTACAGCGAGTAAACGCATGATATACTACAAATAGCCCAGTCCCATCAATTAGCGGTAACCAGCGCGCATGCGCAGTTCGCCGAGTGTTGCACTTTAGCAAATTCCATTGTCATTAAATGGAGTCCACTCCCAATCTCAATAAAGTCAACAAACAACTGCAGCTAGCTACATTCAGAATTGCTAGCTCATGAGTTGTGAATTTAGAGATAATGTTGACCTTTAAACCATTGGACCTATAATAAAATAAAATGATGGTAATAAATAACCTAACATTTCACCAGCCACAAACACATTATTATCTGTTCAGGGCTTCCATAAGTACATAAGAATTTTTATAGGGGTACTAGGCGCTATTACTTTTTACATCAATTTCTGCTTATTTAATCTGACACCGATGGCATCCAAAGGGCTAAAGCTCTCTGTTCTATCTATAGCTTACTCAAAAGGGGACATTATGGTGTGGAGGGTAGATTATAGTCCCCAAGGATACCCACCAACCGAGAGACTTCCAAGAGGACTGGGCATGCTTTGGCTAACTGCACTTGCTCACTGTATATATAGCTACTCCTACAGTGCTTTGTTAGGGAAGTGCCCTCCATAATGTTATTGTTAGCTACTATCTAGTTATTGCTTAGCGTAGTAGCTCATAATACCTTTACTACGAGCAAAGTGAGCCTAGCTACCTACGTTATTCTCAAATAGTATGCGCGAGTGACTCACCAAAAATTTGTGTGATACAGCTATTCGTTTCATAATTGATGGGTTTGGGTCCCATTGGACAACCCTCCCACTTTGCTGTTTACTCCTTCCTATATATTATACTGCTCAGGTACTATCAAGAAGCTAACATCTACATTATACATAAGTAAATTCAGTTCAGATTTCAGTTATATGACACACAGTGTATTGTTCTATTCTGGCTTCAGGTCTTGCTCATGCAATTTCTCATCTCCTGGTTTATTAAAGTCACTCTCGAAAGGGATGGGAAGCTTCTCTTCTTTATTTCCACCCTCTAACTGCTGCTCATGTAATGAAGTATAAGGTGGATTAGACTCCTGTACTGTGTTGGTAGATGTAGTTCATCAACACGAAGAATACCACGTGTGTGTTCGGTATACCGCACGTATGCAAAGCTCACATACCCATTCTTGCAGCTAAACAGCCACCTAGTGAGCTCGGTCCTGCAGTTTGAGACATAAAACCACCCAGACTGAAACTCCTCCAAGTCTTTCTTTGCAGTATAACCAGTGTCTTGCAGAATAGTTTCCGTTCCATTCAAGCTGTAAAAGGCAACAAGAAGAGGATCTGCTGACGTAGGACCAGCAGCACGTACACAATAACCTCTCTTAAGTTCATAAGGTGGTTTATTCATCCCTTTGACACTAGCTGGCTGAAAGCTTATTTTTTCCGAAACAATTCGATAGTGGTTTGGTGATCGAATCCACGACGATATTATGTAAAACGGTGCGGCTTCCTTCATGTGTGGATCTGTCTTCTCTACTGCACTGGTATATAGTTGTTACGTTAAAAAACTTGATTGTCGTTGTGATCGAGGATGAAAGCCAGGTATCTCGCTGGATTATTAAAGGTTGAGCAGCTTGGCGTCGGTCGAAATATAATGCGGGAAGCTGTCAGCTGTAGCGCCGGAATACCACCAAGTTAGAGTCGCTCCAAGGATAACAAATATCACCAAACACGATACAACCCATCTCATTCCCTCAGTCCTCGCGCTATGTCCTGGATCAGTAATTATAGGAATGAAAGCACTGACGTGCAAACCCTCGGCGCATTGTGACGCGTACGCGTAAGTAAACGCATGCGCCGTACCACTAATTGATTAGTTTTAGCTGTTACTCTTGCCAGCTCGCGTAGAGTCTGACGCGGGCTAACTACACTACTAGATAGCATGCGAGAGGCGATACACGCCCTGCGTTGCATCTTCTGGTGCCTCCGAGGTACGCAGAGAACGTGGATCGATCATGCCATAGTAAGCCGTTGTGTATTTGCATATTGGCTTTTTATCGCTCTAGCTTTGCAACGGAGCGTTTTCAGAGAAAACCGTTCGAAATTTCTGACCTTCATTGCCCGTTCAGTAGGTGGTATCCTTTGTGAGACGAACGAACACTCGAGAAGTAAGATGACGAATAACAGACAGACAGACACACACACAGACCCAAGTACCATAACTCTCGCTGCGCATGCGCGCCGAGGGTTACAACAACGTAGAACCCCAAGGAGAAAACGAGTGCGGTACAGATCGGGTACTGCAAGCATTGGTCCACCAGCAATCCTGCTACGCTTGATTGAAATTCGTCCATCTTCGAGTAGATTACCTGGAAGTTATCTCTAATTGTCACAGAACAGGGGCGGATCCAGGGTTTTGTTTGGGAGGGGGCAACAGCTGCCATGCGCAAATATGCTGTCGCGCATTCCCGTTTTTCGTGTTGGATTACGCATATAATAAGTACACCACATCGCTAATAATAAACAAGAGTTTACTAAAGCAATATTCTGTGTTACTCGAGGAACATTCTAAGTGATACACAACACGCGTAGCCACGGCCGCGAGAGCTAGCTAGAGATGAGAGCGCAGCCTTGCGCGAGCAGGCGCTGAGCTAAGCGCAGTCATGTAGCCAAGGAACAACTGATGGTGCATGTTGTACAAGCTAGAATCCGATGCAGGAAAAACGTTGTTTGCTGTTGGCACGTCGCTAATCGAGAGCCATAATAGTAACAGGGGCGGGGGTCAGGGCAGCATGACGTCATATAGAGCAGACGAGCCTGGGGGCGCGCGTCATTCTTTCGCCGCTAGCCCAACCCTACCCAGATTGGACATGTGCACCTAGCTGACTGGAGTGCGCTGTTTGTTTGCTTATTGGGTCACGATGTTTCTCCTTCACTTACTATAACCACCGGATTGATGGTATTAGCTCTGTTTGCCCCCGCTCTTGGGACTGATTATGAGGTGACTTTTCCGTTGGGAACAACTGAAGAATTGACATTTCATTACAGTTATCCAAACTCTGAATCAAGTGAGCAGACGCTGGAAGAGACACTTGAGCACTATCTCAATCAGATTGTCCAACGAGACCTGGTAGACAATGGGTTGGTCACAGTCCAATCCAAAAACGACCTCTACAGTGCCACGATACGTGGAGACAGCGAACATGTGAACAAATACAAGAACCTCATCCTCAAGTTTCACAAGAGTGGGAAGCTTGCTGTAACGGCTGTACAGAATCTGAGAAGCGATGGTAAGTGGAATGAGAGAGAATGGCGATTGTTCTTGCCTCTTGGGTTGGCCATCAGCAACCATCGCTCCGTCCAGTTGCTTCACTTCCCACCAGACTACTCCCTTCCTGCCCAGGACTACCTCGGCTCCAAGACCAGCCAACGCTGGGAGGACCTCCTGGAAGCCAATGGTGTCCCACTGGAGGAGGTGACACTGTACGAAAGCATCCTGGACATTGCACCCATCGCCGCACCTTCCAATGCACGAAGTCAGCTCAAACACACGTATAGCTATTTCGAGAATTACGTGGTACAAATGCTCGATCTCCTCCTTTTATCTGATGAAGGAGGGCCCCGGCATATGGTCGCCTATGGTGGGCCGGTTCGCCAGTGGATAAAGACACACTTTATTATTCAGGACTACTTTGGTGTGAATTCAATTGCCAAAATCACTGTTAGCGGTGTTAGTGTGCCGGTCCTTGGAGCAAACCACCCTAGCTATATCTGGTATGCCAAGAATGATGGGAGGCAAAAGGCTTTCGAAGTCATGCAGCAGGACTTGATTTCGGCCTGCTGGCAGGCAAAGATGGGCTCCGACAACAGTCCTGCGATCTTGAGGCAATGCCAGGGTTTCTGGGAGGATGAGTCAAATGTCATGACGGTCTGTATCCACATGGAAATCGAGGCCTATGGCCGTAGCAAGCCTGAAGCCATCAACAAATGCAAGGAAGAGTATTCCTCTCAAACACAGAAAACAGAGCTATAAGCAGCAGACAGTTTTGATTGTAATAGTTTGCTATTATTGTTCTGACTTTATACTTACTTCTTTCTATTAGACTAACAATCTCTTCATTTAGTACATAATATGGTTTGAAGCCGATAGGTATATACCATCCATGAAATCCAAGTCTAAATAGGGGCATTATGTGAAGTGAGGTCAAACTACCCACACACATTCTTTACTTCAGAAACAGTCCTGTTTTTCCCACACTGCTAACTAGCTACCGACCAATCTCTAGTTTCACACGCAGACTCCTTTGGGGGTTCTCAATATAGTTTCTGTTTTGCCTGAACATGTAGCAATATGCAGTTACATAGCTAGCTATACCACAGAGACACTATAGAGATCCTTCTGATAAACAATGCAAGACATATGACAAAAAGCAACAAAGACTGCTAGAGATTTGCTTCCTGAGATCAACACTGACTGTCTTGGTCAGCATTGACTCAGCAATAGTACAGAGAGAAGAAGAAATTTGACTGAGCATTGACTCTGCATCTGTCATATAACAGTAGTAAGATACACCTGTCATTGCTCTAAATGGAGGTAAGGTCGCAAAACAACATGCTTTGTTCAAGAACTCCATAAATATATTAAGAAAGATTTTCAGATGGGAGTCACTATGGTGCCCACATTGAGGAAAAGTGTTAGGATTCAAAAAGCTAAAAAAAAGGTGTCATTGCTAAACAAGTAACTAAGAGGATCATGGGGTTGAGGTGAAAAATGCTACTTTCAGTGCTGAACCCAACTAACTTTCGGTTGAGAAGATGTTGATGCTCCTTCCCTTACAACTTGCATGTGCCTGCCAGAGCAGGAAGATTTTAGCTTGGTTGCTCTGTCAACATCGCCATGTGTTTCAGTAAACAATGTCCATGGTCAACGAATACACTATAGCTACATTCCTGAGAATATTACAGTAGTAGCTACAACTTTGTCAGACAAACGGCACCCCATAGATAGTGTCTTTCCCAGGCCCTCTTACTCTTTAGTATTTTTTTACTTCTCAGGGGCTCTCTTCGCTCTCAGGCTAGAGTCCTGGCTCGTTATTGTCTGGGCACTGCTGCAATGCTGAAAGAAAAATCAATGCCCACTGTTTGGCCGTCGTATCTATGGTCATACAGACTAATAGTGATGCTCGTTCCAGCACTCATGGCAAATGCTCAAGGTAAAGATAATCATATCATGATCTGTCACATTTACCACATTCTCTGCAGATAATATTGTGGTTGGCTTTGAACGGAATTTGTACAATGTCTCGGAAGGAGATTCTGTCACCATTTGCGTTGAAATTATCAGTCCCGATGATATCGGAGGAAACCAACTCTACCTTGAAGTGGAGACAGTTGAAAACTCTGGCCAAGCCAGTAAGTCTGTGGCATCGTAGATCGTTCTACATCCCAAACATTCATTTGTAATAATATGGCTATAGCTTACGTAGTTAAAACATACGGTATGTCCAGGAATTTTGTGTTAAATGTGACCCACGCAGTAAAAATGAATGCCCGTCCAAGTGCCTCCAAATTATCCTTACTGAGTTTTACGCAAGACATGGTATGAGATGTTCAAGTGTACATAATTTATTATTAAACACTGCAGTGATGTATGCTGTATTCCTTTTCAGCGCCAGATGAAGTTGATCCCATCTTTGGATTCTATTTGATGGTTCCTGGTGCTGACTACCCACCACTAATTAGAGGAATAGGTGGGACACACGTCATTGATTGTGTACTAATGCAATGCAATTTTCATTCAGCGAAAATGCCTTGCTGGAAATTTCGCCAATGAGCCTATATATGAACCCCAAAGAACCCTGTACGAATTACAGCTAGAACTATTATAATCAGCTTGCAGAATTAAGGGCATCACATAACTTTAGTGCATAACACTAGACAATAAACGAAACAAGAGTTCGGCACTATCACTATATCACTAATAGGTCTTACACTGTATTAGACTAGTTTGAAATTCGTGTGACCATGTTCAACTTTCTCCAAAAGGCCAAATCAGGAACATGTCTCTCACCCAGTCTCGGAGATCTGCTTGTTACGAGCAAGAGACCTACCAAGACAACGAAGAGGAATCTGATGAGTTTTTCACCCTTCGAGTTGTTATTGACGACAGCGTTGACTCATCTTTGGTGGTGTCTAACCTAGTTATAGATGAAAGTCGTGGAACTACTGAAGTCAGAATCTTAGGCAATGCAGGTGAGTTATGTACAAGGCAATAAACAGCATAAAGTGTGCTAGTTTGTACTACACACAACACTGCTGCTCAACAGCAAATTCTATTGTTACACTTACAATTGTTAAACTTACAGTGGATAGTATAAGAGGGAAATGTTTGTAGGGACTACACTTGCATTGTGTAGCATGTGTTACACTACAGTATACAGTATTAAGGAGTTCACAGTGTTGCCAGGTGCCCATGCAGTTGTGTGTGTACCATGAAATTATAGTGCATAGCACACCAGCCATAGATAGATAGAGAAAACCACCACCACCATAATTTACAAACCCCAAAACAACACACATACACAAGTACACATGACATGACATGAGAGCAGGACACTGGGTGCCCAGCCTTGAGAACTGGGGCGGTGGGTTAAAGAGTCTTTTATGGCTAGCCAACTCTCCCCACACACCCAGTATCCAAACTCTAAATCACAAACAATGACAGCCACACATTGAGAAATTGCATAGTCATGACAATGATATGTATAGTATGATACATACAAAAAAAACAATATATATTTGTACGATGACTGAGACTAAGATTCCAGCTAGTCCAAACAACGAAGATAGGTAGTGAGCGCTTCCTGCTGAGTGTATATACAGGTAGTTATACCATAAAATACAACTTCCCCATACTTTAGCTGTATGTCAACTTATTTGCAAAAATCAGTGGGTGTATGGTAGTTATACGGTAGAAGAAAATCTGCAGCGTGTAATGCAATTGGGGGGATTTTACACTCTTTGTGTGCTGCAGTTTCTTTACCAGAAGGGAGTGTCTTCAGGCTAAAAGGCCAGAAACTGCTCTAGTATATACGCGGTCTGAAAACTAGCGAAAACTGCTTCCCGACGCGTACGCTCCCGCGGGCTGGAACAGTGTTTGGTGACTTTCAGCTTTCTTGCTATTGCAACAGGCTGCTGGGTATAGCGGTAGAGAAAGCGAGCCAGAGGGGCAGCTACAAAACTTGTGCATGGGGTCTAGAACGAAAAAGAATATACCAGTAACGTTGAACTCTCTAGAAATGGCAGCGGCTTCTGCAAAACAGCCCAGCGCAGGGGCGTCGGCAGGATTCTAGAAATGAGGGGGCAAAACCGAAAAAGCGCGCGTGAAGATCGCGCGTAAATTTATACCGGAAACCGCACGCGTAATTTACACAGGAAGCCGGAAGTAAAAAGTAGGCCTGCGCGCGGCGCTTTTATCCACGTTGAGGAGTCCGGTGGATTCACTTGAATAACTTCCGCATACTATGAGCTATGTAATCTACCATCGCGCTCTCACTCCTCTATTGTTCATAGTATTGCTAATGTCCAAACGTTTAATTCCAAAAGTGTGCTACATCATTCGCCAATTATTTCCACCATTTTTCGTCAGTCCTCCCAACTTGCATATACTTTTTTTTGGTTACAATGCTATGTATGGTCACGGTCATTTAAAATATTACACTCATTCCGATGTGGTTATTTCTTCTTTTGTCATGTCCATCAGACTGAATTTTGGCTTACACAGTTCACCATTATTTGATCATCTTATTTATACATTGCTATGTTTGTAGCCCTCTCTTCCTTCCTATCCTATCATTTGTTGTTTGTAACTTTTTTCTTTCTTAGTGGGCCAGTGGCCAGTCCAGGAGCCCTTAAGCCCTTGGTTGGCGACGGGGCATATATAGTCCAGCTGGTCGCTGGTCCGCCCTTCTTCTTCATCTTCTTCATTTCCTCATTCCATTTGCACCTTTTTTTGGTGTGTAATAAAATAAATAAAAGTACTGTTGCGAAGTCATCAACAATAATCTTCTTCCTCTCTTTCTTGTATCGCTTAGCAGGTGACACGAAAACAGATTCATCCTTGGCTCTCTTCTCACGACTCACAGTTGACTCACAGTAGCCACTAGCATCCGCTGTGTTGCCTATAGGCCTTGGCCGTCCAGAATACTTGCTCTTATGCCCCTCTTTCTCAAAATAGCTACAAACATTAAAAATGATGGTCTTCGCTGTGCTATTAACACCCGTCCATCTCAGGGGGTAAACATCTCTCCCGATTTACGCGGCAAACTCCCGGTTCACGTGCACGCGGACAACCACGCACATTCCACGCACATTCCAACTCGCACGAACATCCGGTGGACTCCTCAACGTGAATAGTTATTGGACATTGTTGGCGAGCGGGAGCGACATAACTTGGGAGTTTCCAACGATGATGGGGCTGCATGACACGTGCCGTCAGCGCAAAGCTTTCCTTCCGTGAAGCAAGACAGATATACCTGTCGCCGTTACATGCGTACTGTATATTGCCAGAACGGTGAGCAGGTGAGCAGAACGGTACTTACCTTATGCTTTCAGCTCGTCAGTCGTGGTCCACCAGGCAGCTGGCATGCAGCAGTATCTGCACGAGCAATCCTAGCTTTTTTCCAAGTTGCACCTTCGAATGAAGATTGGGAAGAGGTACAACCTCGGTCAGTCACCGAAGATTTCAGAGCATGCCGTCGAATGGAGGAGAGTTCTCTCGCAGGCTAGATGGATCGGCGCATATCGCGTGGCAGCGTGTGTGAAACGTACGCGGCTTGTATAATCCGCTCGAACGAACGACTGTGTTGGCTCGCTCCCGCTCGCCAATAATAGTATGCATTATTGGCTATAGGCTCAGCAGTCAGTTAGTTGGAGACGCCTGTCTTGAGAATTCATCAATGAGTTCTTCTATGCTGACGGGTATGTCCGGATGAACATGCAGTAGAGTCAGACTTGATTTTCGCGGTATCTTACTTCTGTCGTTCCTCAATTTTCATGTTCCTAGGCTTTAGGACATGTTCACTGTCTTTTCTCAATTCAGGCCTGCTTGGGTCTTCTAAACATGTTCATTGGCCTAGAGTCACACACTCTGATTGTGGCAAATAATAATTATTGCTAGACTAAGCTATGGTTATTAACGCATACACATAGCCCAACCCACATGCGCGGTACCACGCTGCCGAGGGCTTTTGCTCTTTAGTACTTTTCATTATTGTTAAGTCTCCAGTTACAACATGTCCTGAAGGCTCATAACAGTACTTACTATTACTACAATCACAACAGTACCTTCGTCTAAGTCAAGCTACTCTACTTCACTCCTCTGATTAAATATTGCCCGCGATACGGTCCTAGTGTATGAGTAGCTAACTGTAGGAGGCTCCCTGTTTTTCGCACCTCTTACATACTTGCTGTTCAGTATTTGAGGCAAGCCAATCATTTCAATGCCTTTTTATTATTGTAATGTACTTTCATAAAACCAGAGTTTTCTTTTCTAGCATCAAACACCATACCACCTGAAGCTTTTTTTCCGGAAGGTTATGAAGTTCATGAACAACACCCTGAATCGGCGGATCCACTTGACCCATTCCTCGGGACGGCTGAACGTGAAAGATTCTGGCATAGTGACTTGGAACGACGCGGTCGTCGGCAAACTCGTGCCATCTCTGACGATCGGCGGACTCGCACTGTCTCGTGGGCTTGCCCCAGAGGATCCTCCTTCTGAAGTCATGATCCCGACGATGCCACCATGTAGTAACGTGGACTACGTTATCGGCTGAGCCGCTCGGTAACGCTAGTACAACAGTCAGCAGAATGAGTAGCTACAGCATACATACACATCACATTTATACACTCCACTACACATGCGCATTAGGTACAACCTTTTATACATCAATGGTAGTACACAATACTGTAGCTACTACTAGAATCATACCGTTTTTGGTGACATTATTCATAAAATATGTGCTGCCCTGGTATTTATGTTTACACCGAACAGAACCACAATCACAAACAACACAATTATTAGTTGCACATACCGGGACAGACAGACAGGTATATAGGACCTGACTTTTTAAAGGACGCAGGTTATTGTCCACCACCTTGGTATGCCGGGCTGGTGGCTACCCTCTACTGAACGACGCGAAGACTGACATGCTACATCTGACATAAAGATAAAAAAGGGGGAGGGTGATATCCTCTGAAAACACTAAAAACTGACATCTTAATAATTATTGAGATTAAGATAACTGTTATAGAATATTGCTAACAATCTCCCAATTTCAGAGATATAATACAACTCCCTTCGTTTTACTGATGCTGTAACATGTCTTGCCTTGGACGACCCCGAAAATGGAGAAGTTATGGTGGACGAGTTTGGATTTGGTGCAATAGCTAGCTACTTACAGCTACAATGATGGCTATCGCTTGGATGGTCCGGACATGATCACTTGTGACGAAAATAATGAGTGGACCCCCTCGCCGCTGCAGCGTGGCGGCTATCTCGGCGTTGTGCGGCTTTGCCGGTAGTAGTCCCAGAGTGTAATAATAAAATCTCTGGAGCGATGGCAATCTATACAAGAGTGTCAAATGACTTTTATAAGCTATGGTAGATGTAGGTTTAAGCGGCACGGCTGACCATGATACAAGGTGTGAACGTATGACTTGTGAACAGGTGTGGTGTGAGATCAGGGCTCGGGTCACAAGTCTCTGTTTCCTTGCCACTGCACGATGTAGCGATATGTAAATATGTAGGTTTTTGTAACTGCTACACAATCCTCCTCTCGGAAAAGTCAGTCTCGGATTTCAAATTTGATCGCGATAGTAGTTGGGTGCAGTTCGAATTCGTTGGGGGTAGCGGCGCTCTGTAGGCTGTGATGGTGCAACTTGTGGGGGCTCAGTGTTGAAAATAGAATGGCCATTCCTACTTTGAGGGTTCTGCCCATTTCTTCATGGAGCAGGGTATGGTCCCCCTTGGGTTCTGGGATCTGTTTGTGGTGAATCGTCCCATATTAGCTTGAGATTTGTCCCTGGAGGAGATGTGTTTATTGTTGCCCGACTTGTTGGTTCTCGTGTTGTGTTGCTGATATTCGGCCTCGTATTCTCCGAGTAGGGTTTCAATCGATTAAAGTGTACTACGAGTGTTATTGACTGTCCCCGTGTACTCCTTATGCGGTAGTCCACTTCCCTGATTTGAT